AAATGTTGTCTTTAAGCTAACCTGCACACTTTATGATATAGTATTTGTTTATATGACTGGCTGGAAGACTTAGTCACAGTCCTATTGAGATAATAACAAAAACACACGTTCTGACATAATCTCTCTTCCCTTTACATTCAGTGGGAGAGATGTTTATTTTCAAAACACTGGTTATCTCATCCTAAACAATTCATCTGGAATATGTTAGGTGAAAAATGCTTTAAAAATGCCTTACCAGCTAGTTTAGGTGTAGGCATCTACATTCGGTCCTTCTGGCCTACAATGCTTACAACTCAAAAGACCTGAATAATTAGTTTGCTTTGTCATCAAGGAAATAAAAAAAACCTAGGTTGTCTCTTTTTGTTTTGTTTTTAATTAAGTGTGATCTTTTTTCCTCCACTTTGTTTTTACGCAAAGGTGATGTTTATTATTATTCAGGATGTAGACTTTTGAATGAAGCTCTTGATTCCCTCTGCTTCTCATTTTAGTCTTCCCAAGTTAAGTCAAGGCTTCCCACTTACCTCCCTAACTCCCATTTCACTTCTCCTTGTTGTCTCCAAATTCCCTGAGGATGCCATCTGTGATTGCTGTCCAGAGGTCCTGTCGTGCTGGCAGCCCGTGCCTTCTCCAGGCTGTCTTCCACTGTTGCCCTTACTGGGTCACTCTTGCAAAAGTGTGGCATTTGAATATGGTGGCTTTATTTCAGCCCCGTCTCAAAACCAGGACTCCACCTGCCTCTTCCTTGATTTGTCCATAGCATTGGACTGACACTCACTGCAGATGATCATCTTCTTTCTCCTGCCCTTCTCCTCAGAAAATCTCCCACTTCAGGAGCGATCCATTCCCTTCTATGAATTGTGATGACAATGCCAAAAAAATAGAAAGCAGTAAACAAACAACAGTCCCCAGATTAACAATGTTAAACATGCATTGCTTTTTGCTCAGATATACCCTCAGATGGAGTCCGTCAGTTTTGCTAATGCTTGTAGATCTGCACAACTGATACGTTAAAGGTAAATTATAATGATAATGATAATGTGGGCAGAGGGATGCAGGTCAGAGCTTTCTTACCACACTTACACACTAAGTAACAGGAGATGCAGCAAGTGAGTGGAAGTGAAGACTACGTATGTTCCACAGAGAAAGGTGCAGCTCCCACACAAGATTTTTTTCCAGGAACAAATTCTCTATTTTGTTTTTGTCACGCTGAACGCCTGTCCATCTCTCTGCTTTCCACTGGGCAAGACAAAGACACTTGCTGTGAAGCTAAACCAATGTTCATCAGAGCTGCACAGTGCCTGCATAAATTCATTTCGGCATTGCTCTTTGCGCTGCAGAGCCTTCTCAGCTGAACCTGATCTTTTGCAGTTCGGAATATCTCAGAGCTGTGTATCAAAGATAAAATACCACTTGCCAAATATTTTTCTTATTTCTGTCGTTAGCCCAGAAGGGATTGAGAAAGCAAAAGAGAGAACTCTGTGTGTCAGATAAAATTACAGATTTAATTTCCATCTCTGGAAACTCTGACTTTACCTGTTAGCCAGAAGTCATGACCATACATTCCTTTTTAAAGCTAACTTATTTGGCCACATCTGAACAGTACAGTGATCTGCGGTTGGAAATTGAAGCTGGAGAAAGCAAGCACTGGCAAACCAAAGGTGTCAAAAGATTCCTTGAGATTTGTCCGTAGTCCTTCCTCAGGCAGCCTAATGCCAGTGCCAGTTCTTGAACCTGCTTCTTCTTTCTGCTTTGTAGGTACCACCAAGGTCTTACTGTCATAAAAACAGATTTAGCTGGGTGTTGGAACAGAGACTGCAGTGTCTCTGAGAGGTTTATACTGTCTAATAGTTTGATGTCTTTGATTTTTAAACTTTCTCTTTACAATTAACAAGAAAAATCTCTCTGAAGTGTTAACCATGCCTTTCCATTGCATTGATGTTTTTCAGCTGGTGTTCTAAAGGTATTATCTGGGCAGCCCAAGAATTAGAGATATAGTTTCAGTACCTGGAAAGGATCTATCTGCATGTTTTACACTGATTTTAGTAGGAATTAGGATGTCTAATCTCAATGCTTTTTTGCAAATACCTCCCTAAATGTATTAAAAAATAAAATCTGCAATATTCCTTTTTCTTTATGCTGAAATCATCATAAATAAATCATCATGGTGAATGGAGTTAAATCCAGTTGGCAGCCGGTCACGAGCGGTGTTCCCCAGGGCTCAGTTTTGGGGCCGGTCTTGTTCAATACCTTTATCAATGATCTGGATGAGGGGATCGAGTGCACCCTCAGTGAGTTTGCAGACGACACCAAGTTGGGCGGGAGTGTTGATCTGCTCGAGGGTAGGAAGGCTCTGCAGAGGGACCTGGACAGGCTGGATCGATGGGCCGAGGCCAACTGTATGAGATTCAACAAGGCCAAGTGCCAGGTCCTGCACTTTGGCCACAACAACCCCATGCAGCGCTACAGGCTTGGGGAAGAGTGGCTGGAAAGCTGCCTGGCGGAAAAGGACCTGGGGGTGTTGGTCGACAGCCGGCTGAACATGAGCCGGCAGTGTGCCCAGGCGGCCAAGAAGGCCAATGGCATCCTGGCCTGTATCAGAAATAGTGTGGCCAGCGGGAGTAGGGAAGTGATGGTGCCCCTGTACTCGGCATTGGTGAGGCCGCACCTCGAATACTGTGTTCAGTTTTGGGCCCCTCACTACAAGAAGGACGTTGAGGTGCTGGAGCGTGTCCAGAGAAGGGCAACGAGGCTGGTGAGGGGTCTGGAGAACAAGTCTTCTGAGGAGCGGCTGAGGGAACTGGGGTTGTTTAGCCTGGAGAAAAGGAGGCTGAGGGGAGACCTCATTGCTCTCTACAACTACCTGAAAGGAGGTTGTAGCGAGGTGGGTGTCGGTCTCTTCTCCCAAGTAACTGGCGATAGGACGAGAGGAAATGGCCTCAAGTTGCGCCAGGGGAGGTTTAGATTGGACATGAGGAAAAATGTCTTTACTGAAAGAGTGGTTAAACATTGGAAGAGGCTGCCCAGGGAAGTGGTCGAGTCCCCATCCCTGGAGGTATTTAAAAGATGTGTAGATGAGGCGCTTAGGGACATGGTTTAGTGGGCATGGTGGTTGGACTCGATGATCTTAGAGGTCTTTTCCAACCTTAATGCTTCTATAACAAATACATAAATGTAGTCATAATTTTTGCCTGCAGTGCATTGTTCCTGTACCCTGGTACAAACAAAGGGTGGGAATTTCCTTTTAATGAGTTCTTCTGTGAGTTGGTGGTAACAGGAGAGTGTAGTATGGTTCAATGAACTGGCTCATTCTTATTTAGGGTCTTAAATAATTAGCCTACTCACCACCTTTTTTCTGCTATTTCTCTGCTGCTTACTGAGAGAAAGAGAAAAAGAGAAGGGAGGGAAGGAAGGAAAGGAAGGAAAGCTTTTTAGCATTTACAGTTTTCCACTCAGTGTCATTATCACTGTAACAAATAATTAGGTTGTTGCCTAATAATATCCCACTGGAATTGTGTATGTGTGACCATCTGTTAATGAAAAATTTCAAATTATTCCAATGCTTAGTTCAGGTAAATACCCATTCAGGTCACTCAGCGGGGCCAAGATTTAACATCTAAATCTTGAATCAACTTCTGAAGTAATTATCCGTTTTTCTGTGATTGCATCTTATAAGATCTGAGATAGTCCTGTGCTATAGACAGCCTGCTGCTTCTGATGGTATAGCAGCACATATATCACTGGGTCTGTTTGAACCAGAGAGCTAACACGCTTGTGATGATGGAAAATGATGAGGGACAATTGGGAAGCCTGAGCAAGTTTTGGTGGCAATTGACAATAAAGTTCCTTTTCTTCTGTATTTTCCATCACTCATTTTGATGATCACAGGCACTTAGAAAGGCTACAGCAACACGAACAAATCTCAGAATAGTAGGAGGTTTTTTTAAACTTTCAAGACAGTTCAAATTCCATTTATGGTACTTTGGCAGTACAGGTCAACCCTCTTAGATCCCTCTTTAGCCTACAGACTCTTAAAGACCTCCAGTCGTACTGTGTTCAGTCACAGTCGGTATGTCCATCCCCTTTCACGGTGCGGTCCCATCATGTCTGGAGCTTCCTGTCATACAAATAAGTAACAGGTTTGTCCACCCTCACTAATGAGCTGGTTTCTTTTGAAGGGAGAACAGTAATAATCCCTAGCCTAGCATGAGGAATGCTTTGACCTTTTGAAAGTTGTGGGTTTGATCTGCAGGCTGTATTGTACTGTCAGTCTTCACATAGTGGAAATTAAGTACTGGGTGATTGGCAGGGCTCCTGTAGAAGGCAGAGAAAAAAAAAAAAAGAAAATCAGAAACTTCAGAAATCGATCCTGGGAGCAGGGCAACCTGTCATGCAAAATCTGCTTGTCTCAGTGCAGCTTTTCTCTAAACAAGTCTGATACTTTGAACCTCTAGGATCGTAATAACCACCCTTGGAACAAGATCCGTAATCTGCCCAAAGGTGATACTGTTATTCTCATGCTCTAATATTCCATCATATTTGCAAATACTCTTATCTCCCACATCTGGCAAAATCCTCTTGCATAATGTGTGATACAACATTTATCAGTATGTATGGAAAGTATAAATGTATGTAATAAACTGCTCTATTCTTTAGCATTTTATATGTGTATGTGTATATATATGTGTATATATAAAAATAAAACTAAGAACACATTTACAGTCTGCCCAAGCTGCACTTGTTTTTCCTGGCATTGCTTACATCTTAAGTGAAGTGACAATCTGACCCTCACATATTACTTCACCAAGCTGGCTGTTTCAATATCTGCGAGACAAATAGGTTGTGTTAGTTTTCACCTCCTTGCGGTACCTCTTTATAGATGGTGCTTTTTAACTTCATATTGTAAATGTGAGAGATCTTCTAGATAATTTCTCTTGACAGGCAAGTATTTTGTGCATGTAAACCTAACTCTTTTGCATAATTCTTCTTGTTTATTACCACAGGAGAAGAAAACTTGCTGGCAATTTTGAAAAGGAGATGGTGGAAGTACATGATCCTGGGGATAATAGATATAGAAGCCAATTACCTGGTAGTCAAAGCTTATCAATACACCACTCTTACTAGTGTACAGGTAAGGACTCAAAGGATTTTCCCTTCTGAGGTAAGATAATAGGCCCAATGAGGTCAATGGTGCAGTGTCCATTGGCTTCAGTGCACTAATGGCTAGTTGCTGCCCGTGTCTTCTGTGTACTTTTTAATGCTGTCTCATGAGATGCGTTTTTTTCATGTTGGACTATTTTTATTACTCAGTATTTTCCAAACTGTACAAAAACATACTGTGCTAAACCATTCATAATCACATTTTTGGCATTATCTACTTCATTGGTCCTTTAAGAAAATATTTTCAGATGGGCTGAAATGTTTTTCTCACTTTATATTGTACTTGGAAAAAATACAAGCACTTCTTTTAGGATTCCATAATTAGATCTGAGTGCAAAAGTTGTCATTAAGTGCAATGAATGTAGTTATGATGAAGAAGTCTTACTTCAATGCAAGCACTTAGATGTGTTATGTTATATAACAGCTTAACTGCAGCTATCAAAAAGTGTACTCTCCCTTAAAAAATTATACGTGCGGCTAACAGAAGCTAGGGTAGCAATTCCTCCAAAGATCTAACCTGTATATTTTAAATACCACACAAAAGAATCAGGCTTCTTCCCATTTAAGTGAATGGGAAGTGAATAATAGAAACATTTTTAAGAGACTGGAATTTGTCTATCTTGGGAAATCATTGCATACTTCATTGCTACTTGTTCTAAAACAAACCTACTCCCTTTTTACATTATCTCTAAATAACTGGGCAACACTAGGTTGTGTTCAGTGTATTTTACACCTTATTTGCCTGAAGTTTGCATTAGAGCCAGTAAAATAGAGGAGCACCAGTTAATGTTCTGCAGAATCAAAGCTAATTAGGAATATATCTCTTCCATAGTTGAAAAGGGATATTGGAAAATACTGAGCTTGTTTAGCTGAATAAGAAGCAAAACCAGAAGAAAACTATGAATTCAAGGAATCTGAACGTGAGGTTTATACTAAATATTCACAAATGCCTCTGCCATCAGAGTCTTGGTTTGAGAATTCTTTGAAACATGCCCAGACAACGTAATACTGCTTTTAACACTTTTCCAAGTCAGATTACTCAGTATAGAGTAAAGCATAAACCCACATAAACCTCATAGTGTCTGATTTTATAGCTACTAAGAGCCTCAAAGAGAAAAGCAAAAGCTGAATTGCGTCTTTTGCATGTTCACTCATAGCAAGTAGGAATAGCAGACTGAGCAAGATGATCCAGGTCATTAAATACTGTCTCCCACAGCCACCAACAAGCGTGTATCAGAGGTTCGTCTGGCCGGACCCATGAAGCACCAATCGCAGAAGATGCAAACCCTCCTGCTCTTCTGCAATGATCATGGCCTTTAGTGTAAGAGATCAAAACCTGCAGTGCGAGGAGGAAGCAGGCAGGAGAGTTCGAGGGCATTGCCTGTGTCTCAGCAGGGAATTTGTTAGCTGAAATGAGCCACACTCTCCTTTTAGACTGAGAGAGAGGAAGGGTAGAACAGGAGAACTGTCATAGGATGCAGACCATGTTGTGTCCTTTTTAGACCTCTTCCACATAAAGATTACAACAGAGTTCAGGTCTCTTTCCCATGTAGCTTGAAGGAGGGAAGAGGTAGAAGCTCAAATGTTGTCAAGTTTTTTTCCAGGAGTGGAATGAATGCAGTGTCTCCTTTTCCCATAGTTGTCCTGGATTGCTCGGATACACGTAGAGTGACTGGGAATACCTGTTGCATTTTAAATTCACTTCATGCCTTAATTTGAATGAGCTTCTAAGTATAGACAAGCCCAAAGGTATGGTGAGAATGGGACAAGTATGCGGTAGTGCATTAAGATGTTGAATCAAATGACACATTTTATGAAATGTAGCCAAACACCACCCTATTTCATTTAAAGATGAAACAGAAGCAGCTCAGGGCATTATTCAGCCTGAAACAGCATTGGTCAAAGTGTGTAATGGTATGAGATGAAGACTGAAGAAATGGAAAGCAAACAATGAAAAAAAGCAAGCTTTTCCTAGAATCTGATTTCTGAAGAAGCAAATAGGACCACTCTCTTGAGAGCATCTTCCGAAAGGCTTGATCCTGCAAGAGCACTACCTGTGAGGCCATAAACACTTGCTAGCACATAGCAAGAAGTGTTCAAATCCTGTCAGATTTCAGACCTGAGAAACCATTACTACCTAACACAAGTCAGCATGGCTTCGACTGAAGGCTGTGGGAGCTATGCCAATGTATACATTGACTGAGAATCGAGCCCCTCAAGTCAATTCCGGGGGATTTTATTGTCAACAGGCTTTACACCAAGGGTTTTTTGATGGGGAGAATATAAGAGTTTTTGGAATTGTCGCTTCAGTAAATGAGAAATCTTGCAGTATTTTTATAGTGGTGGTACATGGACCATTTCAGTAGGAAATCAGTTTTACAGCATATACTTTTTTCCCACACAGTATCTCTGCTCCGTCATGCAAAACTAACATGTGAGTGTACTGTGCTTGTGGTGCTTTTAGGCAGAAAACATTAAGCTGCTCCCAGCAAAAAGCCAAAGTTTAACTGTAAAAATATACCTGCAATTGATTTGCAGTTCTGCTTTCACCAAACAACTCCAAGCACTCAACAGCTTTGTTTGCCAAGAAGCTTTAAACTCTTAGGACCATCAAAGTTTCTAGTTTAAACTCCATCTTTTTTTGTAATTGACATTATCTCATCGTGGTTCCAGGAAAAGACTGAAATTGGTGCCCTACTTTTCCCCATTGTTTCACACCCAAGTCTTTCCTACACTTTCCTTTAAAATTCCCTTTTGGTTTTGGTCTGGGAAAACAGGATTTTCTAATAAACCTTCCTATACATCTTTCACCTGATGCCTTCAGAACCACAGTGAACGAGGACACATGGCATAAATCAGAGATTAATATGGTACCTAACGTTTACTTTTGGATGTGCTTCTGATTATTTCAAATCCTCATGTACTCTATAATTACTGTCTGAGAATGTGGCACTCAGCTCCATCATAAGATGAAAACAAAGTACTGTGAAGCCTAGAAACACATAATTTTCCCTTTAAAAAAAAAAAAAAGCAAACTAAAAGACCTCCCTTATAAACTAGGTGACATAAAAAAATTAGATAGAAAACCGATGCACTGTTTATGTTTCAGACATCAAGGTGTAGGTCAATTGCTAAGGATAAAATCCAAGGTACCCTTTAGGTATCTACAGTGCAATTCAGGGGCAACTAGATTTAATAGAACAATCCAAGAAACCCACACCTAACTGTCTACATATCTAAAATGTCATAGACATCTAACATCCCCATGTCTATGTGTAGTAACCTGCTGCTCAGAGCACAGTCTTGGGACATGAAAATGTGTGTTTGAACCTCTCAGTTTGCTCCTTCTTTGGTAGCTTTAAATTCTGGTTCTTTGCATGCCCAGAGTGCTTCTGTATTGATGGAGCCAGATGCCCAAATACCTACCTCCATTTTAAAATTCAAAAGCTACGTATTCCTACATCAAAGTACCCCGAGGAACTCAGTTTGTTAGATATGATCTTAGCATGCCCCAAGTGCTTACAGAAAGCCTGGAGTGCTTTCCAAATCACAAGGGTAGAGCCACCTTTTACATAAAGTCATAGCTGTTAAAACAGTAGCCCACAGAAAGGGCTTGAGTTAACTCCGTTTTAGCAGGGGGGATTGAAACTCAAGCTTCCCACAGCCATGAAAATGCTCAAGCTAGTAAGTGAAGACTGTTCTGTAGAGCGTACATTTAAAAATTGAGTATACACCAGGTAAAAGGCACAGTAGTTTGTTGATAGATCAATTTGATATCCGAAAACACGTGTTTCAAGAAGTGCCAGAGGTGCCAGAGATCAGTCACACTTAATGCTCTCAGACGCATGTGTCCTGATTCCCAGATGGCCAAAAACTTGCAAAATGATCTTTAGTTTCTCTTTGATGCATTAATTTAACGTGCACTAGATTTTGCAGCCTTCTTGCATGTCAGTTGTAGCAGGTGCAGAAAGTGCATTAAACACTCCCGTGTACGCTAGCACCCGATCCCATGGACTTTTTTTAAAAACTGTACACTTAACTTTCAGGACTGCCTGTGGTAATGCTTTCCATCTTTATCCTAATGGTTTTTAAAACAACCCTGGTGTAGACCTGTGGAAGGTTTAATAATTATTCAAGAAGGGTGTTTTAACTACTGTTAGAGATACTTTTTACGCAGCAGATAAAATTAGTTCCCCCAGAGGGAATTAAAAGATTCTGAAGTTCTTGCAGTTATTTAGATCTAGATATTTAATTTGTTTGAAACTACATTTTTACTTCAACTTCCCTGCACTGCATTTACAGCGTACCGCACACATACATCCTACCAAGTTCATAATGTCTTCCACTAAGCCTGTTATGATACTAACATTTGTAACCTTTGCTGCCAGGTAAGTGCTTTCTCATCATGCCAAGCTTCGTTATGAGGCAGACTGTCCTCTCCCTTCTCCCCTATCGCCCTCACGTTAATTAGCTCTCCTTTCTGCGAATACACTGTTTTATCCACCTGCATATTACACTGTTGTGTTGCACTCTCTAGAGGTAATGTTATCCTTTTTCTGTGTTGTCACATCACATAGAAAACTGGACTATTTCTGCAATACCTTGCATAGTGGTACTGCAGAATATGCATACGATGGCACAAGAAATAAGCGTCTTTCAAAGAGAGTGCTATGTTTCCAAATAGTGATGTATCTGGTAATTTATTCCTTGGGCAATCAAGCCTTTGATTGGCATGATGAAAACAAAGGTAGTAAAAGCTGGGATTTATAGACACCAGGAGACAGACAATAAAACTATGATGCTGATGTTCTCAGCTACTCTTAGATCACTGTGAGGCTCAGCAGTACATCATACTTCCAATTACCTCTGGCAGTTTTCATACCTCAACAACTGCCACCAGAAAAGGAAAGGAGTCAGCAGTAAGTGCTTATTATAGCCGTGCTGGATGGCAATAGACTTTGCTTTGTTCTT